CGGGAAATCCGCCGACCCTGTCGGCGTGTGGAAGACGCATCCCGGTGTCGTCGTCTTGCGTGGATCACAGTCGTCGTCGTCGTCGTCGTCGTCGTCGTCGTCGTCGTCGTCGTCGTCGTCGTCTCCGTCGTGTCCTCGTCGTCTCCGTCTCCGTTGTCCCTCGTCGTCTTCGTCGTTCCCCGTCTCCTTGAGCGCGCGAGCCAAAGCGACATTGAGCAACGTCGTAGTTGAGTCGTGGCGAAGCCCCTCCCTACCCTCCCCGCCGGGGGGGGGGGGGGGTCGCCGGGGGGGGTCCCCGGGGGGGGTCGCCGCCACCCAGATACGCATCCTCCCCGGGGGGTCCCGGAGCTCAGAAAAGCTTCAAGACGAGCCAAGAGCGACAGAAGACACCCCCAAAAGGGTACAAGAGGGCCTCGACTCGACGAACGATGGCCCCAAGACGCCCAAGACGGCCCGAAGACGGCCCAAGAGGCCCTCAAGACGCTCCAAGAGAGCCCCAAGAGCACACCCAAGAGGGCCCCAGGCGCCAAAATCGTCAATTTTACATAGGTTTTTGAATGATTTTGGCCTTCTCGCCTTTTCGGCTTTCCGACACTCCAAGACGGCCCAAGAGGCCCCCAAGAGGCCCCCAAGAGCGCCCCAAGAGGCCTACAAGAGGGCCCCAAGACGGCCCAAGAAGGCCCCAGGACAGCCTAAGAGGCGCCCAAGACGGCCCAATAGGGCCCCAAGACGGGCCCAAGAAACAGCCAAGAGGGGGACGAGGAACCGAGAATTCGAGACTTCCGCCCTAAGAGGCCCCCGGGAAGCCCCAAGAGGCCCCCAAAAGGCCCCAAGAGGCCCCCGAGCGGCGCCAAGACGCCCCCAAGATGCGCCGAAGACGGCCTCCGGAAGCCCCAAGAGGCCCAAAAGAGGCCCCAAGAGGCCCCACAACGGCCCCCAAGAGGCTTCAAGTTGCCTTCCAGACGCCCCCGAGAGGTCAACCACGAGATCCCAACCAACATCCATAAGGCCTCCTCCTCCTCCCCCTTCACCCTTCCTCCTCCTACTCCCTTCCGCCTCCTCCTCCTCCTCCTCCTCCTCCTCCTCCTCCTCCTCCTCCTGCCCCCCCCCTCGTGTTGTCTTTCGTCATCTTCAGGGTCGGCGGCAACGGCCGTAAGGCCTTCGCAATATAATTTGGCATTTTCACCCGCGCAGTGCAGCATTTCGTGGCCCCATTGGGGGCTCCACCGAAGCCCCCAGTGGGACCGTCCGCATGCGCCCCGGAAACCCAATTTGGTACTTTCACTCACTCAGTAGAGCGCTTCGTGGCCCCATAGGGAGCTCCACCGAAGCCCTCAGTGGGACCGTCCGCATGCGTCCCGCAAACCCAATTCGGCACACCACCCACACAGTACAGCGTTCCCCCCCGCCCAGTGCAGCGCTTCGTTGCCCCATAGGGAGCTTCACCGAAGCAAATATTCACAATTACGGTACCCACAACTGCATATGGTTGGGACCTTCGCCAGGATAATCTTTCCAGCGCACGAGAGCTTGTCATGCAATCGCGTATGGATAATCACGGCATTGCGCATCTCATCATCGGAGCAGGGCTTCTGACAACAGCAATGATCGAACTGGAATATAGGTTGAGGCAACTTCCCTCCTCACACTCCCCTGATCTAGACCTGGATCAGCACTATCTGGCATTCATAGAGAAGGCGTACAGGAACGAACGGGTGGTATTTGATTCCAGCCGCTGCCCGGCTCGCTCTCACCTTCGAGGGCACGCGAAGAAGCCTACCACTAGGCAACGCAATATTTCTGCTCATCGTTTCTGAAGTATCCAGCTCAGAAAACGGAGAAGCTAGTCCAGGCCAAGCTTGCAACGCCCCTGAAGAGGTTTGATCAGACCATCAGCCACACCGAAAAATCAGACGCACAGGAAGATCACTCTTCTGTCGAGCACGTAATTAGGCGGCGCGTTGTGTAGTTCTGTCTGAACCACGAAATTCAAATCTGGCCGGAGCACCCAGCATACTACTGAAGGAAGGGGAGACGGAGACCATTTTACTGGCGGAACTCCGGGGATGACTCCCTTTGGACCACCGCCCATTAGCGGCGGTCTTTCCGCGCACTGCAGGGGGGGCGGGTGGAGAAGAGGAAGCTCACCCGCGCTGAAGCCAACGGCTGCGGGAGGAAAGAAAAAGGAAGGAGAGCGCACGGCGAAAGGCCGGATTAAACTGTTATAGGGGGAGCCCCAATGGCAGAGACAAATACGTCCGGGACGCCCGGCACACCACTGGAGCAAGGGGAGAGGGAGACCATTTTACTGGCGGAGTTCCGGGGATGAGTCCCTGCGGACCACCGCCCACTCGCGCCAGGTCAACCCGCACACCAATCCGCCCCGCGCCGCTACCATCGCAACAGACAGCGGGCGAGCGCCTCCTCCACATGCCCCGCACCGCCCGCCCACCACCCCGCAGTGGGGCACCGGCCCAGAGCGCGCCCATCCGCCGGCAGTCCCGGCGCCGCACGGCGCCGACGTTTTCACCGGACCAGGCACGCCTGAGACAACTGGGGCATGCATGAGTTATTACTGCCCCCACGCAGACCACCCATACGTTCACAACCCCTGGCCGCTGCCCCCGCCCACGGTATTCCAACGGGGCGCGGGCGCCCCCTTCAAGGCCCCGGGGCCCCGTGGGCCCCTCGACCGAGGGGCCCCCACTGGCCCGGGGAACACCGCCGGGAAACGGCGCGCGCTGGGGACGGGCCCGGGAACTGCCCCTAGTGGGCCGGCACATCCCAGCATCAAAATGAAATAAGAAAGGGGCCCCGGCCCCCTCCCGGGCTAACGCTCCTCTACTGGGTTCATAACATATCGCGCCTTCCCTTCGCCCCGATTCGCAGTCCTCCCCCTCAGGCCCCGCGCGGCGCCCCCCACCGTCAACTGGCACCCTTAGGCCGACATCGCCTCCGCCAATCCCTTCTGGGGCTCATGCGCCCCCCGCGGGTAGGCGTGGAATTCATTGGATTTCCACCTCCCGAAGCGCTCAAGCCTCTCCAGGTTGGGCGCTGCGCGGCACGTGGATAGAGGCCTGGTGGCTCTCGAAATGCGCCTCTCGTCTGAGCGCCGCGCACATTTGTATTAGATGTTCAAAACAGTGCTCTCGCCCTAGCGTCGCGCACACTCGTCTTAAAAACTTGGGGTTCGCGGTCTTCAAATGGGAGCTCTCGCCTGAGCGTCGTTTTCACTCGTCTCTTATCAACAACAAAATACGAGAACGGGGGGGTCGCGCCTCAGCGCCGCACACAAATGCTTTAAAGCTTGCAACATGGTCCTAATAGACTTGCTTAAGGGGGTCTTTCTTCTTGTCTCAAGAACCCGCTAGTGCGAGACCTGCGCCGGCCGGCTGGCGCTCTTCGGGGCTATGCTCGGACTGACTTCCTGACCGTGGCGTTCCACGGTGTCGTTTTGCCTTGTTCCCTGGCTGTGGCGTTCCCCAGGGTCGCTTCGTCTGGTTTCCTCACCGCATTCCCCAAATGGCGTGGTCTTGTTTCCTTACAGCCGAACCTAGAACAGAAGAAAACCCCTCAAGAACGCAAGACCCTCCGTTGGCCCAACCTGAAGAACATTCGATGGGTGCCCTCCCCCAGGATGCACAATGAACGTCCCACAAGCACAATGAAAATGAGTGTACCCGCCCCGAGCCGACCTCGATCTTATACCTCGGTCCGACCAGGCCTGAATCCCCCAGCTGCGTGGTCCTGTTTCCAAGCAGCGCCAAACAACGCCAAGCAACGCCCAGCAACGCAATGCCAACGCCGAGCAACGCCGAGCAACGCCACGCAATGCCACGCAATGCCAATCCACGCTGAGCAGCGCCAAGCAACGCCGAGCAACGCCAGCCAACGCCAAACAATGCCAAGCAACGCCAAGCAACGCCAGTCGACGCCGAGCAACGCCAAGCAACGCCATGCAACGCCAGCCGACGCCGAGCAACGCCAAGCAACGTCTAGCAATGCCACGCAATGCCAATCAACGCCGAGCAGCGCCAAGCAATGCCAACCAATGCCAAGCAATGCGCCCATGCTATAGGAAAAATGTGCCCGAACTGGTGTCGCGCCGGGTTCATTTTCAATGGAGGCAGCTCATTTTCGAAAGGGGGTTATGGTTGAAGACTCACAAGAAATTGTATGGTTTGGACACCTTGGAAATTTGTGACAACGGCACGGGAGGAGGGCTGTTCCTTTCAAACATGAAGCTCCCTCTTCATACCTCATCAAATTAGCTCGGAGGAAACTTACGCAGCAATTAAACAGATGGGGACGGCTACTTTTAAAAAACGGTCCTCTCCGTGAACCCCTCGTTGAATTTGCCAATCAATCATTGTCGCGTTCCTCAAAACTCCCGAGAAAGATGCAAGACAGTCTTTTTTCAGAATGGGGCTCTCGCTTGTGGCAGGCCCATACGGTGGCCATGTGTAGAGGGGGCACTTCCTGCTACGAAGAGGAAGGCTTGCAAGTGACTCGCGAAAAAGGGACTCGGGACGGCAGGGTGTCCTGCAGCGTCAGTGGGGCGTCCTGGGTTTACTCCTCATCCGCTAGGCTCGGTCGATGAAGCGTCCTTCAATCAAGTTTTGACGCATACCCTGGCAGGATTAATCGGTTGTAGAGCAAGGTGCGAAAACAGAATTCAACGAGATGTATCCAATATTTCTTGGAGGATCCATTGCCATGGACGAACAAAAGCCTCTTCACCATCCCTCGAGGTGCTGCGATCTGCGATAATTCCGCCACTTTCAAGAGTTGCTGAGTTGCTGGGGGGTCCAGCGCGGCGGCGCCATATCCATGCGTGACTGAGCCATTGCCGACGCGGGGTGCAAGCACAATGACGACCTGGACAGCCTGCGGCTGCATCTCTACGTGATGCTCTCCAGGGCCACGAACTCCTGATGATCTGGGACCCGGGGCTGCAATTCCTTTCCGTCGGGTCGCCCTCGGACCTCGCAGGTCGCCGCCTAGGCCGCCAGGGCGCCATCGGGCGGTCGCGACGCGGCGGCCGCGCGGAAACGCGCGAGGAAGTCGCCGAGGCCGGCCGCCTTTGTCATGATCTGACTGACCGAGGTCTCCTTCCGGGCTTTGACGAAGTCCGTGTCCCGTCGCGTCACCTTGGGCGAAGGAGCGGAAGACGAACTGCCGCGTGGCAGCGGTGACGGCAACAGAGAAGACGACGACGACGACCACCACCACCACGACGACGACGGCGACGGCAGCAACGGCAACGGCGGCGACGGCGACGGCGGTGGCGACAGTGGAGGCGAAGGCGACGACGACGACAGCGGCGCCGAGGCGGTAAGGGGAAAAGGGAAGAAAGAGGAAGGACGAGAAGAGAAGGAGGGGGATGAAGAGGAGGCGAAGGAGCAGGCGGAAGGAGGGAGTAGGGCGAGGACGGGAGCAGGGGAAACGAATGAACGAACACATACACGCACACGAGCGCGGCCATATTACGAGCACTCGGGATTCAAACGTCAACGTCAATTCACATACGCACCATGTTGGCGTGAGTTGCCAACCATCCAATGTTTGCCTCAACCCTCCTCCACCCGCAACGAACTCATGCTTTCTCCCCTTCCTCCTACTCCTCCTCATCCTCAGCATCATCATCATCATCATCATCATCATCATCATCATCATCATCATCATCATCATCATCATCATCACCACCCATCATCATCATCACCACCACCACCACCATCATCATCATCATCATCATCATCATCATCATCATCATCATCATCATCATCATCATCATCATCATCATCATCATCATCCTCGTCCTCATGTGCATCCTCCTCATCATCATCAGTAGCATCATCATCAGCAGCAGCATCATCACCATCACCATCACCATCAGCATCATCATCATCATCGTCATCATCAGCACCGTCGTCATCATCATCAGCAGCATCATCAGCATCAGCATCAACAGCATCAGCATCAGCATCATCATCATCCCCAGCATCAGTAACATCATCATCACCACCAGCAGCATCATCATCATCCTTCTCCTCCCCAGCGTCCTCCTTATCCTTATCCTCCTGCTCCTCTCCTCCTCTCCTCAGCCTCCTCCGCATCCTCCTTTTCATAATCATCAGCATCACCATCATCGTCGCCATCGTGACCGCCATTCTCATCATCAGCATCATCATCATCATCAGCCGCATCACAATCATCATCATCATCATCATCAGCAGCAGCATCATCATCGTCGTATCATCACCACCATAATCATCATCACTATCGTCAGCATCGTCATCATCATCATCATCATCATCATCATCATCATCAGAAGTGTCAATATTATCATTATCATCATCATCAGCAGCATCATCATCATCATCGTCGTCATCAACATCACCACCACCACCACCATCATCATCATCCTAAGCATCACCATCATCAGCAGCAGCAGCATCACCACCACCACCATCATCATCATCGTCATCATCACCATCAGCATCATCATCTTCATCATCAGCAGCAGCATCAGCATCATCATCATCAGCAGCAGCATCAGCATCATCATCAGCCGCATCACAATCATCATCATCAGCATCATCATCATCATCATCATCAACATCATCATCATCATCATCATCATCCCACCTCCTGGAGCCTGAAAGGAGCCAAAAGAGCCTCCAAACAGCTTGATCTTCTCGATGTTCCTCCTCCCCCTCCTCGAGGAGGAGGACGAGTGCTGATGGGGAAGGAAGAAGCATCGCCAGGCCCAGCAGCTTGGAGCCCATCCTGCCGTCCTCGGTCACGGGGAACCCGGTGAAGCCACACGTCTCCGCCAGCCTTTCCCCCGGGCAGGGGCTACGACCACGGCCACGACGCGGGGGGAGAGGGGAGGGTTCGGAGAGGGGTTCGAGGGTCGAGACCGTCGTAAGTCTTCGGACACGCATGGGCTTCCCCAATGAGGCCGCTTGAGACCTCTCCAGGGGGCCTTTTAGAGGTCTGCTGGGACCTCCCGAGGCCTCTGAAGGAGGAGAACGAGGAGGGGCAGAGGAGAAGAGGAGGGAGGAGGAGGGGAGACAAATGAAGGGAGGGACGGGGGGGGGAGGAGTTCGGGGGCCTTCTGGACGGGTTCTGGGAGGAGGAGGAGGAGGAGGAGGAGGACCAGTGTAAACCCAAGAGAGTCATCAACGATGTTGGAGTAAACCCTCCCTCCAAGCTCCCTCTTGACAGGCCCCTACAAGGTTTCGTCTCCATTGATGGAACTGCCTTGTTGGAAGACACCCGTTTGAAGACCCGCAAGCATACCGAAACATTGTTTTCGGGATTCCAACGCCACGGATCAACCTGATTGTTGCGTCTCGACGATCCTGAATCGTGCCAGAACGCCATTCCCAAGACTTCAGCACAGAGAACCAACGTAACTGTTGCACCCGCATAATCCTGAATCCTTCCACAACACAATTTCTGGTACGTTGATAATTTGGATGGGAATGCGTGACACTCTTGAGAATTCTGTGGAAGAATGCGCGCGGCGCTAGGGCGAGAGCCACATTTTGAAAAAGAACCACCCTCAATCCGCGAAACTCTTGCAAATGTTTAAAACACCTGAAACCACTCGCCCTCAATCCGTGAAACTATTGCAATGTGTTTCAAAAAATCTGCGCTGCGCTAAGGCGAGAGCCACATTTTGAAAACCACCCGCCCTCAATCCGTGAAACGATTGCAAATGCTTACAAAGAATGTGCGCCGCGCTAAGGCGAGAGCCACATTTTGAACACCACCCGCCCTCAATCCGTGAAACTATTGTAAATGTTTAAAACACATGTGCGCCGCGCTAAGGCGAGAGCCACATTTCGAACACCACCCGCCCTCAATCCGTGAAACTCTTGCAAACGTTGAAAATGAATGTGCGCCGCGCTAAGGCGAGAGCGACATTTTGAAAAACGACCCGCCCTCTATATGTGAAACTGTTGCCACTCTTCAAGCTTCAGAATCAGAAATGGTGAGGAAGTCTCAGGCGAAACGCCTGGCCCGCCCTAAAAACTGGCCTCGGGGTGCGACAGGGAGAATCTATAAGGAAAAAGAATGGAGGAGGAAGAGGCCTGCATCGGACCCACATCATCCCTCATACTTTCAACTCAGCATCCGGCCAGCCCATTTACTACCCAAACTGGCCCATGATACCCAGCGCAGTCAGCCCAGATACCTGCAATGAGTTCGATTCCCCTCTTCCACTCTGCCCCCTCCGTGCTTCGCTCTCTGATGTGATCATCCTCTGTTCCTTCTGCTCCCTACCCTGTACGCTGCAATGCGTGAGTTTTGTTCGTCTGCCATCGCACTGCCTGCTTTGGGACACGATGTCCTGCCACTTCAAGCCCTGGAGTGCCTCCAAGCTTTTCTGTTCCTCTTACTTGCGATCCTCATTCCAAGTGTCTACTGTGACAGGCTTGATTTGACTCTACTGAAGCCATCTCGCCCAAGTCAGATCCTCAATCTTGTCCATGTATGAACGTTACGGTTCTCCACTAAAGTCTGCGCACCGTCAAGAAGAATGAGGAGGAGGAGGAGTAGAGGCCGCAGCCTCCGATACTCGTCTCACTGTCGACTCTCGTCCTCTCCCAGAGCTCAAGCTCCGGAATTCCTACCCTCCGACCGACCTGCCGAGGAAGGGGAAGACGATCCCGACGGCGGCGACGATGACGACGAAGACGATGACGACGACGACGACGACGACGACGACGACGACGACGACGAGGACGATGACGATGACGAGGGCGAGGGCGAGGGCGAAAGCGCATGCGAGGCGAGGACGAGGGGGGATGGGTAAGACGGGGAGGAGGGCGGGGAGGAGGGCCGGGAGTACGGAGAGAGGGAGGGGAGAGAGAAGGAGGAAAGAAAAATCTTCCCCTCCTCCTTTTCCTGCAGGGTTCACTGCGCCAGCCATTTTTCCCCTTCTACATCCTCCTCCTCCTCGTCCAGCTCCTGATGCTCCAACTCGTCCAACTCGCCTTCATTTTCCATTCTCCCTGCTCTTCCTCCTAATTATTTTCCACCTGTATTCCTTCCCCCTTCTCGTGTCTTGATTGCCTCCTGACCGATCGTCGTATTTCTTCTCCAGGCGCCTTCCATGAGGAAAAAAACTATGGCACTGCCTTTCTGTCCATGAGGAAAAAACTCAGCCGTAGGGGGAATTACTGCCAGAATTATATTTCAGATGCAGGTTCATTGGCACTTTGCTGTTGAAGGCACTGAAACGGCAGAGATCAGCGAACAGGATTGCTTTCGACGGGAAAGTTGAATAGGCATGGGCATCAAGTCCCATGACCGTGAGAAATTGAAGGCCCCAGGCTGGCCGACACGACCCAACATCAACAGCTGTCATCATCTTCGGATTTGCTTCAACACTGCTGCAAGGTACCGTCGAACCGTACCGTACCCCCCTTTCTCAACCGTACTGTGCCCCCTACACATACGAGGGATCTCTTCTCCTTCTCCGCCGCAGGGAGGAGGCAGGAGGGACGGACGAGAGATGAGGGAGGAACGACGGAAGCATGGGGGAAGATGGAGGAAAGAGGAGGAATGACGAAAGGAAGAGGGAGGCGGGGGAGCATGAGGAGGAAGATGAGGCGGAAGGGAGAAAGGAGGGTAGGAGAGGGGAGGGAGGGAGCGAGAAGGCCACGAGAGAGGAAGGGGGCAAGGAGGCGGGATCCGTATGAGCACTCATCATCAAGCCAAGACTCGCGGGCTGAGCTGAAACCGAGGGGAACACACATACCACATTTGGGGGGCGGCCTTCGGGGCAATCGGGGTAGGACACAGGCCCCAGCTACTGTGGAGCCTGAGGACGGCCTGCCCTCGGAGCGTGCCAGGGCATACAGGGCACGCTGCGCGCCAACTGCGGGGTGGTCTCAACAACATACCGCCCACAGGACTGGCAGAAAAAAAACACTTTGGAAACAATATGTGCATTAGAAGAGCGGGCCTACGTGGCAGCAGGGTGGACCGCAACTCCGTCATGGCCTTCCTGCTGCCGACGCTCTGGCGGGCCCAAACGCATCCCTGGCCAGAATTTGCACACCTGGCCTCGAACAGCGTCGAATTTCATATTACAAACAATACCAAAAAAACATACGTCCACATGGCGCGGGGCATGTCCTGCAGCCTTGAGTCGCTGCTTTCGGGCGGCATCCGAACGGATGGCAGGAGGACGATGAGGGGGACGACCCACGCGGTCAGCTTTCAGGCGCTGAAAGGGACTGATTCTTTTTAAAAACAAATGCATTGGCAGTGAAACGCGCGGGGTACGCATGCGCCGGCGCGTCAAAGCAGAAGCGCCAGGCAGCCGTGCGCCACGCGTGCGCAGGTCCAGTCCATACCTGTTGTAGAACTGCTTGTCCGCCAGCTGTTTGGTCTACCAAATCGTACACACACTGGATTCAAGCGTTTCTGGGTCCGCCGCGCTTGGGGGGGAGCCGCGGGCGGGCTAAAGCGCAACTCTGGCATGAAAACACAACGCCTGACTGCACTGCCATCCAGTTGCCAGGCGACGTCTCCGATCACAGGACCAAGTGTCTGCATGCTAGCGAAAAACTCGACGTCCCGCAACCACAGGAGGCGCGCATGGACTCATCGGTGATGTGACTAGTATAGGAGTGCCCTATTCCAGCCACGCCCTATTCCAGCCACTTTTCGAAGACACCGTGCTCGGAAGCTAAAAAATCAAACGAATTTCGATAGTGACAGCAAGGAGGCGCTGCAAGACGCGAGAAGTCGTACTGCCAACCTCGTTCACAGCATCAACAGGCGCGTCGGACATTTGTCATAAGGCGGCGGCCTCCCCGTCAAAATAGCCAACAGCAAAATTCAAGACACACTCGGACTCCTCATTTGCCCAAGCAACGCGCAAAGGCCAACCATAATGGGCACTGGTCCAAAGAGCCTGGACCTGCCCGTCACGGGCGCCGGAGATCCGATGTGCGGACCACACATCCGACATCGGGGGGATCCTGGCCACGAACGTCCGGCCTCGTCTGAGGCCCTGAGCGAACGGAAAATTATCAGCATAAGCCACTGCAGGGCCCCGAGGTTTGAGTGAGCAGCAGAACGAACGCGTACAACTCGGACCGTGGGGGCTCAACTGAACCGTGGCACCTGAAACCAAAATCATGCACGCCACCCTCGTCGAGACGAACGACCGACCAGTCACAACGACGTAATCGGTGATTGCTAACATACATACTGACAAAACAGTCCCATCTATGAATTGTTCCCTCCCTAACGATTCCCGTCAGAAAACATACCCAAAGACTGTACAATACTGCGAAGCGGGAGAAAGACAGGACGCAGCAGCAGCAAACGGAGGATACCTCGGCTCGACAACGCAGAACGAACGCAGACCGCTGATACTTATCGTGCAAAGCCAGGTCGTCATCCTCGCTAAATTGCCGCAGGCGCGGTGACACAACCTGGTCGTCACACGAGTAATCCCAAACTCTGTGCGGAGGTGTCTCTCTCCCGGCTCCACGTCGTGGGCAAAGACCGACTGCTGAATATCCAGCATCCTGCAGTCTGGCCTCTGGCCAAACCCCATCGACTACAAAACAACAAATGAAAGCCGCCTCAGAGATCCTCCTCTCTTTCAACATACCCTTACGGAGCCTCCGAAACACCGTGAGACCAGCTCCTCCTTCCGGGACAGCTGGACAAAAATGGTGAGGGGCCTTCAACCAGGTGGCATGTTGGAGGGTGGCACGCACGGCAGTTGACAGATGGTGAAACCACTATCTTCAATACGTTGCTTACCTGAGGGCGTAGACCAGGAGGCGGCAGCATCGGGACCCCAATCTAAGTTCAGAGTCATACTGACAGTGGCGGCGATAGGTCCTTCCTGAGTCCTCCAACGCCTCTTAGCACCCAGAACGCACAGTCGATCCTTGTGCTTCGACCAGGCACAAACTCTCATCGTATACAGACGAGGCAGCACGCGGCTGTCGGCGCGGAGCCCCACACAGCGAATTTGCGCACTGTGGATGTGCAGGCTACCAGGTGGAAGCGTGAAACGCTCGATCTCGAGAGATCCGCGCTCTGGAAAAATCGCTCGTTGTTGATCCAACAGCAAGCAGCAACGACGGGGGAGGCCCCGAGGGGCACAAGGGCGAGCAGGGGTTCACACAAAGCAGCGAGAGACGAACGGCGCGCGCCCCAACTTCCGCAAGCGGGAGCAGGGAGCGCACCGTTCACCAACCCGCCGCAAAGAGTAGCCCCCCGATGGGGGGGGGGGGGAGACGCCAGCGGCGGAGGAGGAGCGGGAAAGGCGAGAGGAGCGGAAGAGACGAACGACGGACGACGACGACGAACGAAGAAGACGACAGCAGAAGGGATCGCTATTCGAATGTGCGAAAATAAGAGAAAACACAAAATGCCAATTAGTTGCCCGAGCACGGGCGGGCGGAAGATGCGGCATACGGGGCGGTAGAAGAAAACGTGACGCGCTAAGCGTCGTCCTCCCCCAACTCTGCCAGCAAGCCTGGCGCGGCGGCTACAGCTCCACCCGTCGAGGGAAGCTCCGCGTGCCTCCTCAGGACTGCTCGCGCCGTCGCCCGGCGGATCGCCACGGACAAGCGCTGGAGCAAGCGTGCCGCGCCCGCCCCCAGCTCCTCGCCTCGTCTCCGATCACTGGCCCGGGCTAGCCTGCGCAGAGTGTCGGCGCCAGTCGGGCCTCATCCTCCAGACACGATCCCATGCTGCTGGCACTGCCGCCCTGTGCCGAGGTGGTTCCTCTTGACCAACTCGTACTCCTGCGCTGCACGCCCCACCTCCTGGAACGGCAGGACACGGGCATCCTGCCTGCGCGGCGAAGACACCGCGAAGTCGAAGGCAGCAGGCGCCCCCTGGAACCAGGAGGGAGAATGTAGACATCCGCAGGCCGGCGCCCATTCACCTGGACGTCGTCTGGGCGGGGCGGTAGGAGGCCAGGCTGTTCGAGCGTCGTGTTGAAACCCGCGCCGGTGCCAAAGGCGCCGACCACGTTCCTTGCCCCGTTGCGCCGGTGGACACGATCCCCGCCCCCAGCGCACAAGCCTGCGCGCTGGCCATGGCGGTCGCAGACGTCCTCGCAGCAGGGGCAGAAGTGCTCAGTCTCGTACACAGGCATGAGGAGCCTGCGCATGACCTCGCACACGAGTTCCTCGGACTCGAAAAGGAGCCCCAGCTGCTCGCTGGGCTGCGCCTCGAGCAAGTCTGAAGCGCCTGGCAGCATCTCTGAAAGGATGTCAGCGCGGTCTGCCGCTCCCAAGCCGGCCAGGAAGGTCTGGTGCCAGCGCTCGTCCACCGCGGCGGAGAGCTGCTTCTGCGTGGCCCTGTCGAGCGCCGCAGGGTCGAGGCCGCCCGCGGGCGCTAGCAGGGCGTTGTACGCCAGGAGCGCCTGCTCCTCCAGCGCAGCCGCGCTATCCAGCACCCACGTGTAGGCCGGGTCAAGGTCGCAGCACAGACGCCGCGTGGCAGCGAGACTTGCCAAGTAAGCGCCTGGCACGCGCGCTGTCAGCTCGCGCAGGCCGAGCCCCGCGCGGGCGAGCCCTCTGGCTGCCTGGCCCCACTGCCCGTCCGTCAGGTCCGCTGCCAGCAGGTCCGACAGCGCGCGCCGCGGGCCGTCGTCGAAGTAGCGCAACGCTTCCGAAAGCAGAGCAGATGGCGCTGTGCGGGCGCTGCACACCAGTTTCGCGTAGCTCGCGCAGAAGCGCAGGAGTGCGAGGCCCACCTGGGGGGTAGGTTGGCGAGCGCCTCCAGGGCGGGCTTCGTCTTGTCGGCGCGGCGCTGGGTGAACGCCTCGCAAAAGTCCTTCGCCCCAATGGGCGCCCCCAGGAGCTTGAAGCCGCCTCGGAAGACAACGCGGTTGACCCCCGTCTCTGCGTCCGTCAGAAGAGGTGCAGGGGAGAGGTCCGCCAGGCCGCCCGGCCTGTGCCCGCAGGGGACCACGAGCTCGCACTTGCCGAGGTGGAGGAGGAGACCCAAGTCAGGGCAGCGGCGCTGCAGCGTCGCCAATGCTCGCGCCACCGCCTCCTTCGATCCCGCCAGGAAGCCGTCGTCCAGGTAGAAAGCGCAAAGGTCCAAGTCTCCAACGCCCGCCAGCTCCTCCAACACCGCGTGCAAGGCGAGGGAGAAGATCAAGGGCCCTAGCGGGTCCCCCTGTTGTACGCCTGCCTGCGAGGACATGCCATAGCTGCCAAAACACAGATTGGAGGGCTCCGCGTAGGCCCAGCGCGCCAAGCGCTCCAGCTCCGGGAAGCGGGCACGGACGGCTCGCAACGCGGGGTCACGGCGCAGCGAGTTGAACGCGTTTGCAAAGTCGAGTTTCAGTAGCACCTTGCCGTCCTCGTCTGCATTCCGCTCGAACCACTGGCGCACGGCGTGAACGGTGGCCTCAGCCCCCAGGGGTCTGCAGCAGCCTGTTTGCAGCGGCCAGAGCACCTGGCGCGCACGACCCTTGACGTGGTCGCAGAACACCTTGCTGGTCAGGCGGCGCAGAACCTCGCCGCCCGCGATCGGGCGAAGTCCACCGTCGTCTTTTTCCAACGCCACCAGCTTCGCTCCTGCCAGGTGCGGCGCCACCTCCCGTGGGGCCTCTCCGTTGGCGAGGGTCTGACACACCGCGGCGAGCAGCTCCGTAACCGTCGCCCGAGTGGCGGGGGTCATGACGTCGAGCACGTGCTGCGCTCGGAGGCCCGAGGGGCCAGGGGCCGTCCCTTTCGGGAAGGTTCGCAGCGCCCGCAGCGCCGAGTTCGGCGTGAGCAGTGGCAAACTCTCAACGTTAGCAGCGGCAAGCAGCCACACCTTCCTCAGTCGAAAAGCGGGACCATCCGCGACATCATGATTTATAACAAGCGTGGTGGTAGTGCACGCACCTGAGTTCCAATGCCCTGAACACAATGCTGCCTGCGAACGGAAGCTCTGAACATCGGCCATCATGAGACCCACAAACGAATGGCACCAGGATCCCACGGACAACATTCCAGGTTTGTAAATATTCTTTGTTGTCTCTCACTGACGAGCGAGGTACGCAAGCTTCCGAAATCTCTTGAACGCCTTTCGCCTTCTGAGTTGGACCTGCCATCTGCACCTTTTCTTACCGGCGGTCGTCAGCGCGGAGGGAGGAGGGAAGGGGATAGGGGCGGGAGGAGCAGGAGATCAAAGGCGGAAAAGAAAACATGATCTCTGAAATGCTGGTACACATTTGAGCATTTTTGTCCCTCCTCCAGGCGTCGCAAGACTGCACGCTGGAGAGTTGTGCCGCACTCATGCGTTTGTCAAGCTTCCCCTCTTCTCGTCCCCCTCCGTTCCCTCCTCCTCGTCTCCTCCTCCTCCTCCTCCTCCTCCTCCTCCTCCTCCTCCTCCTCCTCCTCCTCCTCCTCCTCCTCCTCCTCCTCCTCCTCCTCCTCCTCCGCTTCTCTGAAATGCTCAGGAAGCGAGAGCTCTCGGGCAGAGGACCCTCGAAACGCTCCCTCGAAACGCTCACGATCTGCGGGGGTCGGAGATACCGAGCACCGCAAGCGCTCAAGAATCTGGGGTCGGAAGCGCAGACTCCCCGAGAGGTCCGCGGCGGGGCAGAGGGGGCCGGGGCTGCGCGAGGGCATTCCGCGCGGGGGGGCCGCCGCTCTGTCGCAGAGGGGGGGGGCATGCCAGCGCAGCTCGGCACGCATGCGCTGCCACCGACAGGGAACGAACCAAACACCTCGGCGGACAGTCGTCCGGGCCTGGCTGAGGCCAGGTGGGGGGTGCTGTGGCCCGCCCATGGCCTCGTGAAAGGTAGGCTTCGGCCTGGCCATGGCCACGTGGGGGAGGCCATGGCCAGGTCAAGAGGCCGTGGCGACAAGGGAGGAGAGTGCGAAGGGGGGTGGGGCCGGCAGCAGCACCCATCGCTCGGGAGAAGTGGGCAGAAGCACTATGCAACAACTAATGGTTTTCTACCCGCCCATGGTAGATTGGGATCTGAGAGTTCAAAAACCCGGGGCTCTCAACGGTCAGAGTGAGCATTCCCCAGCGGCAGCAACAGCAGCACCGAACCCGGGTTCACGCAGAACCCCTCCCAGAGGCCACGCTGGTCGCCTTCCGATCTCGTCGGGCTCGCAACGGCACGCGCCCTCTCATCCCACCACCCCCTCTGTGGAGGGATACCCTCCTCCAACGTCAAGCTCTGGTCAGCTAATCCCCTCAGGCCTGTCGAGGTCATGCAGGGTCATGGTGGGCTTGATGCAGATGGGGTCGGTGATGAAGCCGCTCTTGTACTTCTTCACCTTGGACACCTCCTCCGCCTGGCTCGGGAGCCGTCGGAGGCCCGAGGTCCAAGAGTCGCGCATGCTCTGAGACACAAGATGCTTGGACAGGCTCCCAGCACGCCTG